CCACGAACCTCTCACACAGCCCCGAGGGCTCCACTGGCTTGGACTCAGCCCCATCCCACCCCCACGTGGCTCACCCGCCTCGAAGCCGACCTCCCATGGCTGCACCCCACGACGTGGGAGAGGACAAGCTCAGCTTCCTCCAGGGGAAGGATATGGCTTTCCGGGAAGGTGTTTGGGGCAGTTTCCATGCAAACACCAGGATGCTTTTAAAAATAGACCGACCTTCCAATAAAAGCTCTTGGAGCGCGAGTTTCAGGCATTAAACTGGTGCAGACAGTTTCAAAATCAAACCTTCCCTGGGCTCCGCGGCTGGGGGTGCTGAGGGCTGAAGCCTGGGTGCCCGGTCAGGCTCCTGAAGGCCTTGGAGCGGCCCTGGTTCCTCGGGAGCCTCTCCATTGCCTGTGGCGCTGCAGCGCCCTCTCTGCTGCCCTCGCTGTGACTGCCATCTGCCAGAACCCCCGTGTGTGGTGTTCAAGCCCTCGGCTCCTTAGAATGGAGAGGTCGCGGCTTACCCACACAGGGACCACTCTGGGCAAGCTGGACAGAGTGAGCCGGGCCTGAGGGCGGCTCCGGGCTGCGTGGCCACCTCCTGGCCCTGCAGCTCCTCTCCTCTCCGTCCTCCAAAGCCCTCTGCCCAAACTCTGCCTGGCACTGGGTGGGGCTGAGTGCCAGGGGTGGACAGGAGTGGGCCTGTGCCGGCAAGTCACGCGGTCAGGAGTCCCGTGGCCGTCATTGAAGAAACAAAGGTGACGCATCTGCCAGTTGAACCTCCCCATGTCCTGCCTGCCTGTGTCCGTGAGGGTCCTGTCTTCCTGGGTGCAGATGAACTCTGGCCCCAGCGGACACGTCCACACTGTGCACAGCGCAGCTGCTGGGGTCAGGACTGGGTTTGCCGAGGGGCTCACTGTCTTTTTTTAAAGAGTACTACTCCTTTCAAAATGACGGTTAGGGGCCGGGGCTGGGGCTCAGGGTAGAGTGCACACCTAGCCCCCGTGAGGCCCTGGGTTCCATCCTCAGCACCACATAATAGAAATAAAGGTATTGTGTCCAACTGCAATAAAAAATAAATATTTTTAAAAATGAGGGTTGGTTGTTTTTTTAAAAACTTAACCCTGATGTTCAGTATCTTTACAGGTCTCACCGGTCACTTGTATACCTTCCTTGGGGAGATGTCTGTTTTTGTGGGTGCTTATTTTGTTGTTTATGTGGCCAGAGCGGAAGTTCACATGGGTGGTGGCAGATAAGATACAGATGACATGGAGCCCCCCACCTTGCCCACGGCTGCTGCCCGCCTCGCTAGCATCCTCGAACTGCTGTGCCGCTGTGGTCAGCTGCTCTGCTGAGAACGGACGTGGCAGCTCTGGTTCACCCCCCACCCCCACCCCCGGCCCTGGCCGTCCTCATCTGCTGTCTCTAGGGGCCTCATGAAGTGGAGTCCTACAGTGTCTGTCCTTCTGTGACTCCATATTCACTTGGTATAATGTCCTCAAGGCTCAGCCATATTGCAGCACCTCAGGGTTTCCTTTTGTAAGGCTGAGTAATATTCCATTATATGGATCTGCAACTTTTTTAATCCATTCGTCTGACAGATCCCTAGGCTGCTTCCCTCTTTTGGCTATTGTGAAGGATGCTGCTGTGGATGAGAATGCACAAGTCCTTACTGTCAATTCTTTTGGATGTGCCCAGGAGTGGACTTGCTTGGTCACATGATGATTTTGTACTTAGTTTTTTGGGGACCCGCCATATTGTTGGCACATTCCCACCAACTGTGCGCAAGGGGTCTGATTCATCCACATCCCGTGACCCCTCTTGTTGTTCTCACCGTGCTCTCCTTAGAGGAGTGAAATGGTCCTGCTTGGTGGTCTGGCTTGCATTTCCCTAAGATTCTTGATGTTTAGTATCTTTTCAGGTCTCACCGGTCACTTGTATACCTTCCTTGGGGAGATGTCTGTTTTTGTGGGTGCTTATTTTGTTGTTTATGTTGCTGTTCACCCTGAGGTGTGCTCTGTAGGGTGCTGACTCACCAGCTTCCCACAGGCAGACTGATCCTGGCCTCGCCCTACGCAGCAGCCAGAGCGGAAGTTCAAATGGGTGGTGGCAGTTATCTCTGCAGACAAGGTGGCATCTGGGCTCCTGCCCTCTCTCCTCTGTTGGCCTCTGGGGCAGCCTGAAGACCCACCCCAGGGAGGCATGTGACAATGTGCTCTTACATTTTACTTGGTATTTTAGCTGTTTCTGTGTGAGGACAGTCAGGCCTCTGTCTATCACATGGCAGGAACTGCAGCTCTGGGACATTTATTTTCTCACCATGTCTTGATTTTTAAAAATTTTTTCTGTGCCTTGAAAGGTCTTTGCTGTGCTAGACAAAGCAAGAGGGATGTTGTATAGATCAAGGTGGCGTGACATTCATGAGGAGAGGGTCGTGATTCCCCATGCCATGAATGGGGATAGGGACGGCTCGGGAGGACAAAGCAGTGATTCCTCCTATGGGCCTGGACGGTCCGTCAGTCCACCCAGCTCAAGTCCTTGGCTGCCAGCCCACCTTGGAAGCCAGAGGTCAGGGGACAGAACTCTTTCACACCAGAGAGGTCCCACCATGGCACCCTGCTGGTGATGTTGATGGTGCAGACAACCGGAAATGAAAGGTGCCTGGCACATGCTGTGACCTTGGGGTCCTGAAAATGGGGTCACAGTTTCGGTAAAGTGGGACAGTGGACTTTCCACTTGCTGGCTGCGCGCTGCCGTGAGCCGAGCAGGGGTGGGATGCGGGACACCTCCCACCAGGGACCAGTGGCACCACTGTTCTTAGGGCAGTGGCAGAGGTCCGTGGGGGGAGCTGAAGGCACAGGAGTGAGGCTCTGCTCAGGCCACTTAGTGCCTTCCCACGAAGGCTGCTGACGAACAGGGACAGTTACTTTGGTCCTCCTGGGACCAGAGAAAGCAGCACCATTACGCTGGATGGAGACAGGCCCTTAAGCCGGGTACCCGCGGGAGTCACCAGGAGCTTTGCAATACCTGTCGCCCAGGCCACACCCAGGCCAACTTCAGGATCTTTAAAGTTTTATGAAAATTGTGGAGAAACATACATAAAATTTACCATTATGACCTTTCTTTTTAAAAAATATTTATTTTTCAGTTGTAGTTGGACACAATACCTTTATTTTATCTATTAATTTTTATGTGGTGCTGAGGACCAAACCAAAGCCTCACACGTGCCTGGCGAGTGCCCCCATTATAACCTTTCTAAAGCATGCAGTTCAATAGTGTTAATTTGCAATTTACATCATTGTGTAACCAAACCAATCTCCAAAACTTTTTCTTCTCAAACTGTTCCCATTAAAACTAACTCGGGGCTGGGGCTATAGCTCAGGTGGTAGAGCACTTGTCTCACATGCACAAGGCCCTGGGTTCCATCGCAAGCACCACAAACAACAACCACCAGCTTCAGCCACTTAGTGAGGCCTTAAGCAACTCAGCAAGTTCCTGTCTCTAAATAAAATATTTAAAAAGGCTGAGAATGAGTCTCAGTGGCTAAGTGCCCTTGGATTCAATCCCAAGTACAGAACCCCCCCCCCCCAAAAACAAACAAACAAACAAAAAAGTCCCACTTACTCCCCATTCCTCCCTCCCTCCCCCAGCAACCTGGCACCACCACTGCCCTCCCCGTCTATGAATCCAGCCCCTCTGGGGGCCTCAGAGGAGGGGGATCATGCAGTATTTGTCCTGTGTGGGCTTATTTCACCGAGCATGGGTCCTCTGGGCTCACCCACGTAGCCTGGGTCAGAACCATCTCTTCTGTAAATGGAAAGCTATATGGGTGGACCAAGTTATGTTTATCTTTCTGCCCATTCATGCACATTCAGGTCATTTTTGGCCGTCAGTGTTTTTGAGGCTTCAAGAGCTCCAATGTGCAGTTGTGGAGCAGAGCCAGAGATCCAAGCACACCCTGGTTCCCTGCCAGGCAGTGTCACAGGGCGTCACCCTCAGTGGTACTCACTGTTGTTATCAAGCTCAAACACGTTTCCCCAAAACACCCAGCAGGGTCTGCCAGGCCTGTACCCAGGTGGTCCCATCCTCTGCATCTGGGCCAACAGGACTGTGCCTCTGAGCCAGCCTGGGCATGGGCCCTGGGGGTGCCTGTGAATCACAGCTCCCACCAGGAGGCTCCCGCAGCAGCCCAGTCTGGAGTGTGTAGCAACACCAGGCTGGCCAGAGAGTAACTGCCTCCTCTTTGGGGGTGGGTGGTGTCTGGCCTCTGGTCTCAGCCTGCTGCTATCCTCTGCCTCTAGAACCCGGGATGCTCTTCACTCTCCTTGAGTGCTCCCTGCTTTCTCCACTGCAGTCCACCTCATGTATGGAGAGTGGGCAATGGAAGGAGCTGGGGGTATCCATGCTTACGAACCCCATCGCAGCATACAATTTGACAACGGTGCAATATCTGAAATTGCGAGTGTGCAGGAAAAGTCATTCGTTTGTTCACTAATGCATTTAGACACTTGATGCAATTTGTCAGCGCTACCTGTAATTAAATAAGACAAGATTCCTGGTTCATGAGAGGAATTGTGGGAGCATTTATCCATCACCTTTACACACTCCCTTCCTTGGCCTTGCTGCTAAGAATACGTGGAGCGACCCCAAACCTGCGACGCCCTTCAGGGACTGCTTCTGGCCGCCGCAGTGCAGGTGATTGCACTGGGCACGTGGACCCCTCGCAGGCGGCCCCGCCCCTCCCACAGCCCCTCCCCTCCCACTCGCCCCGCCCCTCCCACACGCTCCGCCCCTCCCGCGGCCGGAACGCCCGGCCCGGCCAACCAACGGTTCCCGGCGGCAGGCAGATAGGGCGGACTCAAGAGGACGCGTTTTCCCAGGCTCCTCAGCCTTCTACGTGGACGCATCGGCGCGCAGGCCCCCTCAACGCTCTCCGCCCTTGAAGAGGGCCGCGAGACCGGAAGTGGAGACCCCGACCTGCGCCGGAACCGGAAGTGATCGCGGCGCGCTGCTTCCGGCGGGCGGGGCGCTCTCCGGCCCGGGTCTCCGGAGGGCAGATTGGCCGCCGGGTTCGGGGCCGAGGCGCGGCTGGTGCACCCATGGCGGAGGGCGGCGGCCCCGACGGGCGGGCAGGGCCGGGGCCCGCAGGTAGCGTGGGCGCGGGGCCGCGGGGTTGGGTCCGGGCCTGCCGAGGCCAGGCCGCCCGCCCCCAGGACCGGGCCCGGTAACGGCCGCCGCTGGTTGCGCGGCTTGCTGACCCGGCTGCGGAAAGGGCGCGGGGCCGGAGGCCGCGGCGCGGAGCCTGCGGCTCGCCAGGGACCCGGCACGTCCAGCGGCAGAGAGCCGCCGCCCCAGCGCTGGAGGGAAACCGCAGGAGAGGGTCCCTCTGTCCCCGGTGGGACCCCCTCGTCGGCACTGTCCGAGCTCCCGGGCGCCCGGTGCCTCACAGGTCCATCTGCTGGTTCCCGAGAGTTCCCGCCCAGAGAGTTGATCACCCTTCACTCGGGTGTGCAGAAGGCTCGGGAGAAGGCTGTGGATCGGCCTCCGTGCGCGTGGCCGTTCCGTCCCTCCCTGCTTCCCCCACGCGTTCGGCACCCTCCGCTGGGGGACTGCAGTGCGCAGAGGGGCCCGCCGTGGTCGGTGTGGACGGCCGCCCCGGGGACGGCCAGCACCTTGGGTCCAGAATGCCTCATGTGGGAGTGAGATACTGGAGTGGAGGGTTCAGTTGGAAAGAGGGCAGACCGCCAATTCCCAAGGTAGAGAGGGTCCTGGGAGGACAGGCCGGCCTTGCCCCTCACAGGGCCCCTTTTGCATCGTGTGCTGTACTGTTTTGTTAGTGTGTTAGAGGGAGGGGCGAGGTTTAAACGTTATCCCGGGGTGACTATGTGGTCACTGGAGTAGCTAATTAGAAAAATGTGAACGTGAAGTTGTCTTTCACTCTTGAACACAGGCAGATTCTGAAGCTGCAGTGAGCTGGGCCAGGGGGTGGTGTAAAAGGCCAAAAAAGGGAGGCCCCCAGGGCTTCATAAAGCCCTCCGTAGGTCTCCTGTTCACAGTCTTTGGTTGCCCTGCACCTGACTTCTTCCCACATCTGCTTTGAGCCTTTTCACCCAATGTTAATTGCACCTATGGGATACTTACAGCGGAGGAAGACCACTGAAGGAGGATGAGGTGGTGGCTTAAAGGGCTGTTCTGCTTGATGTCTGCCTGTTGATTTGCTGCAGGTCTGCTTATGGGATCAGAGTGAGAGAACGGTGTGTTTTTGAATCTTGCTGCTGCTTGTGGCCTCTGCTGATGGGTCCTCTAATCCTGGAGGGCAAAGATACTTACACCCCCATTGTACCTGTGACTGACTCTTGAATACAGAAGGTACTCCAGGGAGATTTGAGTTGCGTACAAAAGGCAGCTTCTTCAGGGAAGTGCTTGGTCACACACTAGGGTAATATGGCAGGGCAGGGACTTGAATCCAGGCAGTCTGAGTTTCTGCTCTCTGCTCACACACCTGTCTGTGCAGTTGTTGTTGCTGAACTCTTTTAAGTATTTTGGAGTTTCTTTTGGGCAATGGTGTATTTGGGCCAAGGTGTGAATGAAGACTCAGTTATATCCAAATAGGTATCTAGTTGAACAGGTACCTTTTGTTTAATACCCTTTTCCCTCCTCTCTGATTTTGATGCCCCTTTATCACAAATTAAGTTTTTTTTATACTAATGTCTTTCGGGACAGTTGATTCCGTTTGATCTTTTTATTCTGATAAAATTCTGTCTGTTATCTAGTAGAGTCTTTTTTTCATTATTCTTACTAAAATGGTATTCTTCCTTATATTTATTTAATAAATAAGTATTCTTTAATATTATTTAATAAATAAATAAATGAATTTTAGGATATTTTGTCATATCTGATATTAAAACCCTAAAAAAATCAGTTAAACTTTATTTATTGGTTAAACTTTGTTTAAAATTTCTCTATTATTGAATCTTCTCATCCTGGTACATGGTATGATTTTTCTATTCAACCTAGTTTTCTTCATTGACTTTTAGTATATGGGGTTGGATTTATATTTATGTCATATATTTTAGTTTTCCTTTTTATTAACGTGTAGCTCTGTAAGCAAAGTGCACTCATCTTAGGTTACTGTCTGAACCTGTCCACTTTCATTGATGTAATGGAATGATGTAACGGAGGCAGTCTAAATTCATTAAAAAAAAAAAAAAAGAGGCTTAGCTGGGCATGGTGGTGCACACTTGTAAGCCCAGCTACTTGGCAGCCTGAGGCAGGAGGATTACAATATCAAAGTCAGTCCCTCCAAATTACAAGACCATGTTTAAAAATAAAAAAGGGCTGGGGATATAGCTCAGTGATAAAGTGCCCCTGGGTTCAGTCATGAGTACTGCCAAGTACACACACACACACACACACACACACAGATTATTGATTTCATGGTCTTGGAAGTCTAAACAACATGGCCAAAGCTCTGATGAATGTACCCTGCCTCCTTTGTCTGCATCACCTCATGGCAAATAATGGCAAACATAATGGTGGACACTGTGATCACATCACCAAACCAGAAGCCAGCGACTGGGTAGGGCTAGGCTTAGGTTTTTACAACTCTCTGATGAGAACTAACCAGTGTCCCATGAGAAATACCCAGTCACTTCCAAAGGTACTCTCCCACTGACCTCCCATGAGCCACAGCTTTTCCAACACAGGAACCTCTGAGGGTACAGTAGCGTATGTGATGAGTCATGTTTATATAGACAGAGTAGCATGGTGTAGCATCTTCCTGTTGCAGGCCACAGCACCTGCTTAGTGCTAGGATATTGGCACATGAGTCTCTCTGTGATGGAGATGACTAAGGTTCTCCTTCATAGTTCCCTAGGTTTAATTTTAAGATATCCTTATATACTTAGGATAAATTAGAGTAATTACACACTAGATTTTTTCTAAATATATTTTTTTTAGTTGTCAATGGACATTTATTTATTTATATGTGGTGCCGAGGATCGAACCCAGTGCCTCATGCATTCCAGACAAGCGTGCTACCTGCTGAGCCACAGCCTCAGCCCCAAGATTTTTTTTTTGATACAGTAGTTTTTGTTTCGGTGTCGGGTTTCAATTAGCGACTAAAGGCTCAGGGGTTACTCCAGTTAAATTGGGCTAACTGGGCTGCACAAAATAACCACGCAAGAGACACAAATACCTCTTTCTTTGGGGTCGCTGTGACAGCTCCTCTGACCTTAAGGGACTGCAGGAAGAGAGAGAGAGAGAGAGAGAGAGTACGTGCTGTCCCCTTTTATTGAGGAGAAGCTATTCAAATGAGGCAAGGGGTCAGATTTTAGTGGGCTGAGTCTATCTTCATGATGTCCACTGTCAGCAGGTTGACTGACACCTGGGTAGGCCACACCCAAGGGCACAATAAGAGAAGGGGACACACACAAGGCACTTGTATGTGGACGATTCCATCCTAAGCAGGGCAAGGGGTTATATTACAAAGGAACAGGTGAGTGTAGCTTCACCATGGGGCTGTAACAAGACACACCCATGACGAGACACTGACCCTCAAACCCAAGAAGGGTGGGGAAAGCTCTGCCACATTGCTTGATTGAGCGCCTCAGCACCCAGCCAGGGAGTGCGACTCAGTCATGTGTACGGTTGGTCTCCCACATTTTGGTTTGCTAATATTTTTATTTAGGATCTTGCTTCTGTATTCTGAAGTATGTTTGACCATTGGTTCTGTCATCTTTTTAAAGTTTGTTTTAAAAATTAGGTTTGGTGTCAGGAAGGTGCTAGTTTTATAAGGGAAGCTCTCTATAGTCTTTTCTGTGATTTATCTATTGAGAGTTTGAAAGCACCTGTGTAGCTGGAAGAGGCAGAGCTTAGTGCAGATGGTGCGTCTTTTTGGTTGGCCTTTCGATGTTTCCAGTGCTAACAGGGGCCCCTCTCTTCAGTGCAGGTCCTAATCTGAAGGAGTGGCTGAGGGAGCAGTTTTGTGACCATCCGCTGGAGCACTGTGAGGACACGAGGCTCCATGATGCAGCCTACGTGGGGGACCTCCAGACCCTCAGGAGCCTGTTGCAAGAGGAGAACTATCGGAGGTGAGCATTGCTGCCCAGGCTGCTCCAGGTTCTCAGGCCCCTTTGGCTCTGCGTGGATCTGTGGTTCATGGTTTGCTTTGCAGACCAAGCCCCTGGTGCTTGGAGGAGCACATTCCAGCTTTTGAGGATGGAAGGAAAGGAGATTGCAGATGCATAATCAGAGTTGTTAAGAGGTGACTGAATAGTGGCAGGGATCTGAGTTCAAATGAAGCTCCATCATCGTCCTTTATATTTTTTGGCAGCTCCCAGCCTCTCTGGACATCAGTTTTCTCAGTGCTGTTCCTGATGGTGGCACTGTCACCTTCTTTAGTAGGCCTTGCCCTTCTGAGTGTCCTGTGCACCCACAGCCACCTTCCTCAGTTGGTTTCCTTTGGTGCTCTCTGGCCTGCAGTTGTCTGCTGTGGGCCGCTGTCTTCACCCCAAAGATGTGGGGTTCCTCCATGTTGTTCCCCTGCCTGTGACTTCTTGTCTCTTGATTTGCTGTTACTCACCAAAGTCCTGCCTTTTTGTCTCCCTGTGTAGGTCACTGGGGGGGCACCCAGCCTGCCTTCTCTCTGGAGTGTTCCTGGTTGCTTTGTATGTCTGGGACTGGAGTCCCAAGTACATTTTAAACTCAAAACCCCTGTGTATTGTTTCTGGGTTTCAGCATCCACTTTAGAACTAGGTGGCAGTGATTTGATGGAAGTGCCTGTGTACTGGAACCAATGCTGCTGCTTTCTGTTGATGGTTCCTAAGAAAAACGTTGCGAATAGTCCAGGAAGATATTCCTTTCTCTTTGTCCTTCCATTATCCTAGCATTATTTCATGACAGCAGATATCAGTATTAAAAAAAAAATCTACCCATGTTTTAACTTACTTAATGTGAAGGACTCACTGTCCCCGCTCAGTTAATCTTGCGGATGTGATGGTGGAGTGAAGGAGGTCCCTCCAGGTGTTTCATGTTGCTTTTCTGTGTATTTCCCTCCTTTTTTCTTAGATTCAGCGAAACTCTTATAATATTTTTCTTTTTCTTTCTTGGGTAATGAGTTCTGGACTTGATTGGCTTATCCAAGCTGGTACTTAGCTGAAGGGCTAGTTTGGGGACATGCTGCCTACCACAGGTGCCTGGTTCAGTGCTCTGGGTTCCTGAGCTTTGTTCTGCATTCTCTTGGGAGCTAAAGGTGAAAAACTGCGTCTCTGTTGCTGACCTGGGGGGGTCAGTGGAGGCCTTAGTAGTGTCGTCTGATGGTTGCACTTCTGAGAGCTAAGTCTGGACAGTTTCCTACGGCTGACAAGGGCTACATTCCCTGTGCCATCACAGTGACTCCTCAGTCACTGATTTATTGGTCACCTAGGCCTGGTGATAATGGCAAGGCCCAGACAGAGCCCCAGCCTCAGCCTTCACAGCACGTGACTGGTGAGAGGAGCTCAGATCCCTGAACTGGCTTCCCACTGAGGGTCCTGTCCATGCTGTGCTGTCTGGTGCCTTTTTTTCTCCTTTGTAGAGGAAAGTGCTTTGGGTCAGGAAATCTAAGAACTAGGACTCTTAACTTCTAATGCTGATCATTCCGCCTGAGCCCCGGTTCCTCATCTCCAGAATGGGATCTCAGTGCCTGCCCTGCCCTTCCCTGCCCAGCTCTGCCCATTGCAGCCCAGCCCAGCCCTCACAGGGTCAAGACTCACAGAAGACAAGTGGAGGCATTGTTAAACCTGAGGGATTTAACAGTGAGTGATTGGTCCCCTTGGGCAGCCTCTGTGTCACATTGTCATTGTGAGAGGGCAGAACAGCCGGTCTTTCCTGGGGGCATCTCTCACAATTCCCTGTGTTCCCCTGTAGCCGCATCAACGAAAAGTCTGTCTGGTGCTGTGGCTGGCTCCCCTGCACGCCATTGAGAATTGCTGCCACCGCAGGTCATGGGAACTGTGTGGACTTCCTTATCCGAAAGGGAGCTGAGGTGGACCTGGTAGATGTAAAGGGGCAGACCGCCCTATATGTGGCTGTGGTGAATGGGCACCTGGAGAGTGCCCAGATCCTTCTCGAAGCTGGTGCTGACCCCAACGGAAGCCGGCACCACCGCAGCACCCCTGTCTACCATGCCTCTCGAGTGGGCAGAGCTGACATACTGAAGGCCCTCATCAGGTCAGTACTGGGGTGCTCAGGCCTGCTGCCGGGCACACGGCCACGTCCTTGCCGCTCCTGCAGCCCCCACTGTCACTCTCCTTGCTTTCTGTATTAGTTTTTCCCTCTTTAAAATTAGACTTGCCACTCATGTATTTGGCTAGTATTTTAATAAGGCTACTTCTTAGCTTTATCAGTTTTCTTATGTTTCTGCTTAATGATTCATTTTTATATACTTTTTAGTCTTTATTTTTCCCTTAAGATTTTGCGATGAATGATTTTTCATTTTTTTCTTGATTAATAATGTAAACATTTATTTATTTACCTTTTTTTTATAGCCTTTGCCACGTCCTCTAAACTTCCTTTTTTCATTGTTAAATTGCTGAAATTATTATTTTTTAAATAATTGAAGTTGATTTCCTCTTTGATCTAGAGTTATAGAGGAGAAAGTATAATATCACTTTCTAATTTTATTGTAGTGTGCTCAGGTAATGTGGACCCTATAGTTCACATTATTTATTAAAGTCAGGCTACATTGTTGTGGATGCTTGGGCAAAGCACATGACCATGGGTGTTTTATTCACATAGTACGTTTGGTAGCCTAAATTATTCTGTTTAGAATCCCTCCTTTTTTTTTAACATTTAAAAAAAAATTTTTGTGTGTGTGTGGTTGTAGATGGACAGAATACCTTTATTTTATTTGTTTTATTTTTATGTTGTGCTGAGGGTCGAACCCAGTGCCTCACACATGCTAGGCAAGCGCTCTGCCACTGAGCCATAGCCACAGCCCTACATTTTTTTTTCTTAATTGTAAGATCTGCCAGAAATTTAGAGAAGTTTGTTAGTCTCTAATCAACTGTTGTGACTTTTGTCAGTTTCCCCTTGTGTTTTGCTTTAAATAATTTTGATTTTTCCTGAACTCATAAAATTATTACTTATAATTTGTTATCCAAATGAACACTACTCATCTTTATTTAAGCTCATTTACATAGCATTATATAATATTTAGTTTTAATCTTGAATTTAACTAGCTGTGTGTGTTCATATAGAGTTATTTGAATTCTGGAATTCTGTTTTCTGATGTAGTTAATATCATTGTCATAGCTGATGTTAGCATCTATTCTGTTGTCTGCTTTTTAAATTATTTCCTTTATTTGATATCTCGTATGTTTTTTTGCTTTGTTTTGTGACAGGGTCATGCTAAGTTGCTGAGGCTGGCCTTGAACTCACCATCCTCCTGCCTCAGCTTCCCAAGTAGCTGGGATCAGAGGCATGTGTCAGTGTCTTTTGTTCTATGATAGTGTTTTCTTTGCTTTCCCATCCACTATTTTAAGGTTTTCATTTATAGTGGAAGCAACATCACCGTGTGGGCTTGTTGGTCTGGGTGCTTGTCCTCAGGCCTGTGTTGCCTGAAAGCATCACTTTGGCTTCTGGAGAAAGTTCTTTTGGATGTTTGGAGTGGTGCTGACGAGACAGAGAATAAAACGTGATTGTTGGTGGATTGCTGGCCAGGCATTTCTGTAAGGGAAATCTGCTCCTCCATCTCCTGCACGCTGGGCATCCTCGTCGTGTCTTCCTTCGTATTGACCTTTCCTGTTTCAGTGAAGTACTCAGGTGAAGACATGGCTTTTGAAACATCCCAGGACTGTCTGGGGCCAGTGAAGGCTCGAGGAAACAGGTGCTGTGCTAGCGGTCTGAGGCTGCTCGTGGTGAGTCCAGAGTTGGGTATCACATCTTGGGCAGGAGGCCTGCAGAAGTGAGGCTGTGTGCCTGTCACCTCCTGTCAGATTGCACGATTTCAGTTGGTCACATTATTGCCGGTGATCACTTTAATGTGGTGTCTGTCAGATTTCTTAATAAAAATTCTTCTTCTCTTTGTAATTAGTGTTTTGTAGAGGCACTTGGCCCCCGTACAGATATGTATATGTGTCTCGCCTGTGCCTCATCTCAGAAGTTTGTTTACTTATTAGTGTAGACTCGTGGTTTCTTAGATTGTCAAGTGAGCTCCTGTGCAGTGTTACTGTTATTTATTTTGATGCTCAAATTGTCTCATGTTTGGCCACTATTAGCTGCTTCAAGCCAGCTCTGTATCCTTTGGACATGTCCTGCCTTTCTTTGGGCAGTTTCTTTTTCAGGTAATGACATATTCAAGTCTCATCTTACAGTTGGCCCCAGTCAGTCTTGCATTCGCTTTCTCTAAGGACTCAGTCATCTGTTGTAGGGCTGTGTTATGCTGCCCCGCTGGCCAGCTGTGCTCTCTCTCCTAGGGTCTTGCAATGGAAGCTGACGCCGGGCATGGTCTGGGCTAACCAAGCGAGCGTTTAGTGTGTCTGAAAAGAACGTCCTTCCTGTGGGGCAGGACGTGATAGCACCAGCTAGATGGTCAGTGGGGCTCATCGGTTTCTTTTTACTTTGAATTTTTAGGGATTGTTTTTTATTTAATTTTGTTTCACTACGCAAAATATTTACAAGGTTCAGATCAAATCTATGAAACAGTTATGTTTTAAAAAGTGTAACTTCTAATCTTGTCTTCTTTGTCCTGTTTTCTCCCTCCCTTATAGGTAACCGTTTACAAAATTCTGCGGTTTATCCTTTCATTGTCACCAATAAGCAGACATATATGTGTGAGTGTGTGCTACACACCGCACACTGTGACCATCCTGGTTTTCTCCCTTACTCGTGCGCTCTGGAGGCCATCCCAGAGCAGTGCGGTTCCTCCTTACTTGTCACAGCAGAGCCCTGCTGCTTTCAGATGAGCCACAGTTCAGCCAGTCCCTGCTGATGGGCATGAGGGAGCTTTCCTGTCCTCAGCTACAAAAGGTGGTGCGTCAGTGGATCTCCTCGCTTGTGTATCTTTTCATAGTTTTGCAAATGTGTCTTGGGAATCTAGATCCCAAGAAGTGTAATGGATGGGTCAAGGGATAAATGCATGTGTGATTTTGGTAGCAATTGACAGTTTCCCTTCCATAGAGATTGTTCCATTTTATATTGCCCCAGCAGTGGGTGACCTTAAACTGGTCAGTACATTTTTGGATTTTCTCCCAGTGTGAGAGGCAAGAAGTGGTATTGTGGCATAGTTTTTAATTTGCATTTCTTTTCTGACTGAGGATGAGCATTTTTTCATGGGACTAAGAGCCATTTATAAATGTCCATATCTTCAGCTTGTTTTTTCATAGCGCTGTTGATTTTTGCCATTTAGAAGATTTTTATGTGTTAAAGGTATTAACCCTTTATAGCATTTTCCCAATTTTTAATTTTTTTGTTTTATTTATTTTGTGCTGTTTTTTTTCTAATTAAGAAAGTTTTTTGGTTGTTAATTTTGTGTAGCCATAAGGCAGGTTTTACCCAAAGGTTTTTTTTCCTGATTTCTACATGGTTTCATATTTTTTGTATTTTTAATTCTGATTGATTTGAATTTATCCTGGTGCAAGTCCATTTGTCCCCTACTTATTTGAGGTACTACCTAACCATAGCCTGCATTTCTGTATGCAGTTTGGTCCATTTCTGGGTTTTCTGTGAGATTCTGTGGTTCTGTTGGCTTGTCCACGTGCCTTTGTTTTGTAGGCCTTTATAGCAGTCTGTGCTTGAGGTAGGGCTGCCTCCCCTGCAGTGACTTTTTCATCTTGTTTTATCTTCCAATTGCATAATCAGTTTATATGGCTCCAAGGATGCCATTTGTATTTGCTTATATTTGTAACCAGCTTAGTTTAGGAAAGGTATTTTCACTTAACAAACAAACACAGGGAAAAGTGATATTACAACGTTGCTTATGTGGCATGTCTCTGTTCTCTTAGGCCTGGTTCTGTCACTTTAGTTAGTGTTTTACATTTTCCTCATGCAAACTTTGAACATTTATTAAGTTTATGCTTAGTTTTGTCATTTTGACATTTATTTTGCCAGCACAGAGGACGTCTTCTCTTCCCTTTCATCTTTCACTTGGTTTTGTGTGTATGCACAAAGGCAGTGTGTAGGCCTTTGTGGAGACTGGTCGCAACCGTGAGTGGGAGGCATTTTTGTCTCACTCGTCTGGTTCTTTCCTTGGCCCCAGTGTACTGTTGGACCTTTAGTACCAGTGCACAGAGGCGGCCAGCACCTGGGAGTCTGTACACAACTTCTGACTCATGGGTGGAGGAAATATATTTCATCACTCGAAGGAAATCCTAAGTATTGAGTTTTGTCACAGGTACCTCCTTACCTTTGTATCTGTGGAGATAGAGGATTTTCTCCTTAGTTCTGTTAATAGGATGGATTGTGTTGTTAATGGAGTCTCTAATGTTGGAACTAGCCTTACATTCTTGGGATGACCCCAGGAGGTCATAGTATATTGCTTTCTTAATTATTTTCTTTGCTAATATCTTACTGAAAAATTGTAGCTTGGTACTTGTAAATGAAGCTAGTTGGTAGTTTTTCTTTGTATATGTCCTTTGTCATGTTTGGGGATTATTGTGCTGATTTCATAAGATGAATTTGGAAGTTTTCCTTCTTTTTCTTCACTCTGAAGTAGGTTAAGTGGTCTTGGAATTCCTAGATCTGTAAAGATCAGAAGGACTTCCCACAGGAGTTTTTTGGGTGAGTGGTATCCACATTTTTACTTACTGCCTTATCTTGCTGGAAGGAATAAGCTTTAGTTGTCCCTTGGCATCTGTGGAGATTGGTTCCAGGATATTTTAAGACCCTGGAGGACACTCATCTGAGGATGCTGAATCCCTCCTAGAGAATGATATTTGAGCAGAACCTATGCACATCCTCCTGTAGACTGTCAGTCATCCCTAGATCACTTAAGGTACATAATGTAACGGAAGTGCTATGTGAATAGTTATCTTGCTGTATTATTTAGGGAATAATGAAAAGAAAATGACCGTTCATGTTCAGTACAATTTTTTTTTCCAAAGGTTTTGATCCGCAGTTGGTTGAATGCTCAAATGCAGGGCCTGCTTATGTGGAGGGGTGGCCACATTTGTGATCTCCGGAGCCTCCTTGGCTCTCGTTGTCACTGTGTTAAAGCCTTCCTCCTCGGGTGACTGGGGCAGTCTTTGTGGACTGGTTAGTCCACTGTAAGCCTGATTTTCCTCTCCCCTGTAGGTATGGGGCTGACGTCGATGTCAACCATCACCTGACTCCTGACACCCAACCCCCCTTCTCCAGGCGGCTCACCTCCCTGGTGGTCTGCCCCCTGTACATCAGTGCGGCCTACCACAACTTGCAGTGCTTCAGGCTGCTTTTGCAGGCCGGGGCCAACCCCGACTTCAATTGCAATGGTCCTGTCAACACCCAGGAGTTCTACAGGGGCTCCCCTGGGTGTGTCATGGATGCCGTCCTGCGTCATGGCTGTGAGGCAGCCTTCGTGAGCCTGCTGGTGGAATTTGGAGCCGACCTGAACCTGGTGAAGTGGGACTCATTGGGCCCAGAGTCGAGGGGCAGAAGGAAGGTGGACCCCGAGGCCTTGCAGATCTTTAAGGAGGCCAGAAGTAAGTGGTCAGAGTGTTCTGATGAATAGTTTGGTGGGATTGATTGGATGAGCAAGAGGTAATAATTAAAAATAAAACAAAACAGACCCAATTAAGCACTTGGCCAAGATCCTCAGTTGGGACGAGCAGTTTTCCAGAATGGCTGTTCAGATTAGTCTCTTCTGTGATTCTTAAACACCATGAGCGGATAACAGAAAATCTATGAAAGTGCATGTATGTTTTCAACATATTTAGAATTATCCTCTCTTTACCCCTTTGCTCTGCTTTGTGGCCACAGATTGTTAGTCATTGATTTCTTTTTCACGTGGCTTTAAAAAGAGCAAACCTGTAAGCCTATTTTCTAGGGTTCCTCACATCCCTTTCTTTAGCTGCACTCAATAGCATTAGTTTGAATGATGTGATAAGTAATTTTTGTTAGAATAAAGTCTGTAGTTTGCTCATTTTTGAAGGAAAGGTTTTGCTAAATGAATAAGTTGATGACAGGGAGTTTGGAATTGATCAGTGAGCCTGCTGGTGCACTTGGCCTCAGTAGCTCTCTGTGGGCCTCAGAAGCTGACCTTGTTGTCCTCTGACCTCCAGGCTGCGTGCCCCTTCCCCATTCCTGCCTGGATGCCCAGTGTCCAATAATGACTTCTTTTCAGCTCTTTACCTTTTGCACAGATCGTTAACCTTGAAGCCTTTTGTTGTTGAATTCACATAGGTTGGTTCATTGCTGTGTGCTCTTGTTCAGCTCTTCCAAAATTAGTTGACTGGTGAGGCTGGGAACTGTGCTGATTGAATTCAGATACGTGTTCTTGAGTGTCACTTGTTACCCTCTTCAGCAACCCAGGCAGGAACTTGGCTATGCCTTTTTGACCCAGAGCAGATAGTCAGCCTGCTCCCCTCATGAATCCTCAGTTCTTGGCCCTCAACTCCCTTGGAGCATCTGAGACTCCCAATAGTGAGGGTCAGTTGCTTGCATCTGCCTTCAGTGGGCAGCTCTTATTTTGTCTAGGGTTTTAAATGTAGTAGAGAGAGGAGGTGCTGTTACAGTGAGCAGATGCCCCTGGTTAAGAGGCTGTGGAGATGGAAGGAGCAGATAAGACCCTGCTCCCAGGGCTGGCCTGGGCATTAGTGTGGCTCTGTCAGTCACAGCCAGCCTTTGGCTTCCACAGTGGGGACAGGAATTTATCTTCCCTGATCTCTGTTTCTTCCCGCAACTCTCCAGGCATTCCAAGGACCTTGCTGAGTTTGTGCCGGGTGGCCGTGAGAAGAGCTCTTGGCAAACACCGACTTCATCTGATTCCCTCGCTGCCCCTGCCAGACCCCATTAAAAAGTTTCTACTTTATGAGTAGAAGATGCAGGTGATCTGAGGGAGAGCCACCGCTGATGCCTGCATCTTGTGAACCATCCTGTGCTGCCGATCGCTGGTGAAGAGACGGCCTGTTCTCATGGACTGTAATTCCATCTCAGGTGCTGGGGCCACGGAACAAACAGTCCTTGGGTCATTGTCAGCCGAGAGGCTTATACAAAACTTAATTTTGTTCTTCCTGAATACTTCTGTTTTGGATTTTTGCAGTTGTATGTTAATGAAATGGGCCATGAAGTGTGTGCAGGTGTGGGTGAGACTGGAGGCTTGCTGATAGCCCCAGTAGGGAAGACTCCTAGCACTTTCCAGAACTGTGCTTTTATTTATTTTTCTACTTTGCAATTATTCTATTAAAACCTTATATCTAAATGAAATGGAGTTTTGGTAAAAAAAAAAAAAAAATTAAGTAGGGAACAGAAATGCAGTTCATGAACTTGCTAGTTTGTTTTCCCTGCTTCTGGGGTCGGTGTGTGCATTCGACATACCCCCACTTCCTACCACTCTCATGCTCTTTTTGTGAGTTGCCTTCATTCAAGGATGGTTTCCTGGCTGCACGGGCTGTCAGTGTTATCTGGGTGTGGTGGTCACAGTGCACGACTTGTTCTCATACCTCCTGTACCTCGCCTCCTGCCAATGGTGTCAGGAGCTTTCTGCCTTTTCACTTTAGGAAGCTTCCAGACTGTGACTGATTTAAGGAGGCCCACAGAGAACGAACCAGCCAGGATATGGCAGCCTACTTTTAGATGGGGACCATCCTAACAGCTGTCACTGCCAGTTATAATGAGAAACACCTGAGGCGCTGTCTCCAGTCCCTGGATGGTTCCAGGCATTCAGTTGCTGGTGTCCAGTGGACAACACATCTGGTGTTGGTTGACTGCCCTTCACTTTCTGGGCCTAGCGGCTTTGGTAGCTGTGTCTAGAGTCTAAGGCAGGGGAGAGGAGTGAGGCCAGAAGTCTTTCCCACTTGTCCAGAGCTGGCAGTTGTGGAGAGATGACTGTCACTGCAGGTATCTGTGGCTGTGTGGGTGGGGCTTGCTTCCTCCCTCAAGGCTGTGCAGCCAGGAGTGAAGGTCACTGGCAGGTGGGCCAGGGTCTGTGGCCTCAGAGCATTTCCTAGTGAAATGTTATTTAGCCAGTTGAAGCCTCTGAGGACTATTGTCAGGATTTGTGGTGATTCTAAACTTCCTAAGTGTTTAGAATTTCTGCCACGTGAAAATCTAACTTGTCAAAATTGATGATATGTTAATAATTCTTAGCATCATCATGTGTTTTAGCCAACCAGGCAGGTGACATATGGCCTTTATGTTCTAGAGCCTAAGGATGGAATTGTACCTCTTTAGGTGTCATGGGTGGGCTCCCTGCCAGAGCACTGGGCACCTTGTGTGGACTCATGCAGCTCTGAGGGAGAAGCCAGCAGGTTATTCAGAGAGAAAAGCCAGTCCTGGGCGTTTGCCCAGCTGTCGGAATGTGGTGGCCTGGATTCCTGAGCCCTGAGATTTGGCTCCATGCTGCCCCTGGGAGGGACTTGGGCTCAGGTCCGACTGAGTAAGAGAGACCTTTCCTAAGAGAGGAGAGAAGGGTAGGTGGGGGCCGCCATAGCTGGAGCGATGTGCTGCGTGGGCTCCAGCACAGGAGAGAGTCAGGTGTGTTCTGTGAGGCACTCAAGGTAGGACTAGGCCCAGAGTTGGATGGCTTGGGCAGGAGCTTTAGTGAGTTAGGGGAGGTTATGTGGACTTCTGAGCCTCCTGCATATATACCACCCATCCTGCAGGGGTCTCTTGTCACTGGAGATGGGCTGGCTATTGTTTGTCACCTTGGTAGAGTTGAAAGTGCTTTCTGGAGTGAGCAGTTCACTGATGCCACTTGGAGCCCTTTCCTGATTTCCTGGTGAGGTTTCCCGCTTCTGCCCTTTGGCTCAGTGGGAGAGAAGCTGCAGGTGAGGTGTACCGAGGCTCTTCACACACTGAGGGGCTGTGTTCTCAGACTGAAGAGCAGCTCCCAGAGTGCTGTCTGTGCAGGAGTGCCTTGCTTCTGGTTACTGAACCGTCTCCCATGGTCTCGAGAAGAATGGAACCAACGGATCATCCATTTGGGCCAGGGAGGTAATGTGTCTGGGGAGAGAATGAATGAGCCAGGATAGTGCCCACTCCTGGTCTTCCCCTGGCATGGGTTGTACCCCAGCTGGTCTGCAGGTGGCCAGGGTTGTAGCCTGTTTTTCTGGTACTCAGGATTGAACCAGGGGTATGTTAATACCACTGAGCTACATCCCTGGCCCTTTTTATTTTTTATTTTGAGATAGGGTCTAAGTTGCTTAGGGGTCTGCTAAATTGCTGAGGCTGGCCTCCAACTTGCAATCCTTTTGCTTCAGCCTCCTGGATTGCTGGGATTACAGGTGTGTGCATCCTGCCTGGCTAGGGTCACTGCTGGGAGCCATTAGCCAAGTAGGTTATGACAATTTCCTTGCCAGCGTACCCCATGTTGCTTAGTGGAAGGACTCGTGGAAATAGGACATTTTGCAGTGACATTGCATGTAGGTGACCTTGCTCAAGGACCAGGGCGGTTCCAGGTTTAGGGCGTTCCCGGTTTAGGATTATTCCTGCTGAGAATAGGGCATATCCTGCTGCCTGAGTTCCCCTTGGGTCACTGCTCTTCATTTGCAGAGGACATATTCAGCTTTCCCTTTGCCAATTTTTGTTTTGGAATCCCAACAACTTTGAGGTTCATCCTTTTGTTTGAGCCTTCATAGCTGCCAAACCTGGATCTGAGAATAGTGTTGGTAAACGACAAAGGTCATCTTCCCTGTTTTAGTGAGACTCACTTTACTAAAACTCTCTTTCTCTTTTGTTTTTAAGGATAGATTATAGGATAGGAAAGACTAGCTCCCTCCACCTGAGCACTTTATGAAGTCATGCGTCTAAGCCCTGGGACACTACATCCCACATCATGAGGAAATATGGAGCTGGTGAGGTGCTGCCCGCCTGGCCCAGTGCAGGAGAGGGGATGAGCCTGAATGTTGTCCTCAGCCTTCCTCGGGCAGCTGCGGGCCACTAAATTGCACCCCAAGTTGTGGCTGCTGTGAGCATGGGGTGGCAGGTAGTATCGTACCTCTGAGAATTCAGCTTTGGAATCCTCGATAAGGGTTTTAGATGTATTTCCAAAAACCCATCAGTGTCTCATGTTGTTTGACTTTTCATTTTTGCCTGTGTTATTTATATAGCTATTTAAGTCTTGTTCCAGAAAAGACTTAAATAGCTATATTTAAGTGATGCTTGTGTTTTGGTGTTTGTTTTGATGTTTGGTAATAGAGTGTCCCTGTTAAATAGGTCACTAGCAGTTTCTAACAGGACTTGTGTTTCTGTCATCAGGCTTAAGTACCATAAATTTAAGTTTTTCCTCTTTTTCCATGAATTGATCCTTCAAATAAAAAATTTGTGAAAGAGAAATTTACAGCAGTCATGGGCTTGCCTAGGGGAGGGACCTGCCCAAGAGCTGCTCCGGCCTGGGCTCTGTGGCTGTCCACGTGGCTGTGGGCGGGCGGGCCCTGTGCGTAGTGAGCGCTCGCTCCATCAGGTGTGAGAACAGCTGCTGCGCCTCTCCCAGGCTGCACGTGAGTCGCTGTTGTCAGGACTGCTGTCCCTCCTCATATTGGATGTGCCTTGAGGCAGTGACAATGCTGGGAGAACCTGTGACTGGGAGGCCCAAGCTTGACCTAGAGCTGCAACAGGGGAAGCTGGAGTCGCATGGCCCACAGTGTGACCCTGGGCTGCGAGGGCTCTGTGCAGGGGAGCAGGATGAAGACACATTGATTCAACTGACAGGATTGTCTTAGATTCTGAAATCATGTCTTTTCTACTAGGAGGATAAAATGTCCTTTTATAAAATGAAGATGGCAGAGTGCAGTATATTTGCTTTTTAAAATGCTTTTGGTCATGGAGCAAAACGTTAGCTGCCCTTCGTGAATCGTCTTTGCAGCCTGAAGCTTGGGGCCTTCAGAGCTGCAGCGAGTGTGTATCTCCATCAGAGCTCCTGGGTCTGCAGTAGCCTGCCCTCTGGTAAAGGGTGTCGCAATGTTCCTGCTGCCTTCGGCCTAAGGATGAGACCTGAGATCCCCCATGGGCTTGAGAAGTGCAGATACTCTGTGCTAAGCCTCTGGCCACCGGATCCCTGAGAGACACAGGAAGTGGTGTGGACGTCTAAGGGTAGACTGCCCCCTCCCTCAGGCCCTGGGAGCCTGTGGTACCACTGGATGCTCATGATGATGCCAAGTGTGGCTCGGTGACCTTACAGGCTCTGGCTTCTGCCTCCTGCCTGCCTACCCACCCACCCACCAGGCACTCAGCAGCCAGTGCTGACTTCTAGGAGTTTAGATTCTGTGCCAGTGCAGATTGCTCTCCTGGAAGTACCTCTTCCCACTGGCCCTCCTTTCTCTCCCTGCTCACTGGAGCCTCACTCCCTCCTCCCATTCATTCTGACTCCCTCTGTGCAGTAAAGTAACTGATATGCACGCATGGACAGAGGGATTCGTGTCCTGCTGCAGAATTCCACAGTGACGTGTGTCCATTCCAGACTGTCAGTGGGAGGAGCGAGTGGGGTGGCAGGAGGGACTTCCATTGCCTTACTGTGTGTTGCTCAGGGTCTTTTCTTCCTTAAGTTGCTTTATTTCAAGGTCCCTGTATACCAGGTAATGTGCACATGTGCATCAGTCTTGTTTGAATGTGATGTTTGTGATCACAGCTTTCTACATACAGGATGACATTTTGCAGCTGTAGTTTAGTCTGCTCTGCCCTGGGGTGTCTGCACATTTCCCACTGCCTGTGTTGGGTGTGACAGGCCCTGAGCCTCTGCCTGGGACATGCTGGAGAGATGCTCCCACCAACCCTGTTGCACTTTCTGCTTTGGTGGTGAACATGAATTTTTCTGCAGTGGCTGGAACCACGGCAGTTTTTGCTCTTGTGCCTAGTTAAGAGCTTTCAAAAGTACGATGGAGGGCTAGGGGTGTGGTACAGTGCTTGCCTGGCATGCATGAGGCCCTGGGTTCCATCCCCAGTTCCCTGTCCCCAAAATGGTATGATGGACATTTTTGGTGTGTTATTATAACTTTAATACTTTCCCCTTCTAATTCCCCGCAAATGCCTTAATTTTCTGGCCCGTATCTCACTGGGTGGAAGCGTTGGCCATGGGAAAGTGTTGGTATGTGCAGGTCCAGAAAGGGCTCTGAACAGCTTGCCATGCCTGCGGGGAGGGCTGTGAAACAGGTGCGCCCAGGGTCCAGGGAGGTATCAGATTTTGTGTGTAGGTTTGAACTGCCTGACACCTGGTGGGACTCGGGGGCTGAGGCTTCTGCTTTAGAGGTGTTCGCAGCCTGCAGCTTTCCAGCCCGTGCGGCCCTGCAGTGTACTGTGGGGTGGGCGAGGGAGACCTGGCGAGAGTGTGGCTGCTGGCCCTGTTGTTCTGAAGAGTGATGAGTCTTGTCCGTGTGTTGGGGGTGAGGGTGTGGAGATTTGGGATGAACCCCAGAGTGAATCAACTGAATAAAAAAAGGTTTGTGTGGACCCTCAGTGGCTCCTTGGTGTGCTTTCTTCCTTTTGGGGGAGGGGAGGGGTACCAGGGATTGAACTCAGGGCCACCTGACCACTGAGCCACATCCCAGCCCTATTTTGTAGTTTATTTAGAGATAGGGTCTCACTGAGTTGCTCAGTGCTTTGCTGTTGCTGAGACTGGTTTTGAACTCACAATCCTCCTGCCTCAGCCTCCCGAGCTGCTGGAATTATAGTTGTGCACCACTGTGGCTGGCTCTTCGAGTATCTTCTGTTTCTGCCACTTCCTCAAGCTGAGCCTTGCTCACCCTCCCAGTCTTTAGACTGAGAGGAAGGCTTCTGTCACACACGGCCTCAGTCCCTCTCTGCCTCACCAGGTTTGTGGTAGTTACTTTCCATTCACCGTTGGTTCTCTCTGTCTGTAACACCAAGACTTTTAGTTTTGGGATGGACACTTGGATTCCCAGAGTTCTGGCAGCATTTCCCAGCCACCTGTGTGGCTAAACATGGCCATTTTTCATAGCTGCTTCTTGAAATCCCATGGAAATAACTCAATTTTTTTTGAAAGCATAAATTTACTAGGATGTCTTCAAATAGCAACCAAATTAGGACCTCCTTAAGAAAATAGATGAGTGGCAGCTGACTTAGAAACCCCGAGGAAACGGCGCATGAGAATCCGACATCCCGGGAACTGTGGGGGAACTGGCCGTCCCGGGCATCTTGGGAAGGGGTGAAAGAAGGGTTGACGGGCAGCCTTTGGAGAAGCAGCGGCCTCCTGCCTCTCCAGCTGGACAGCTGTGCCCCCTCTAGCTTGGAGGATACGGACGTGCCCTGCTGGTCTTTACCTCGTGAAGACCTCAGGCAGGGCGGGAAGCAGAGGTGCCTCCTCTGGGGACTCTCTTCAGCCTCAGAGGAGAGACCGAAGATCTGCTGTGGCCAACACAGTGGACTCCAGCAAATGCCTGGAGAGGACCAAGATGTCAGTGTCCACGTTACCAGGTACAGCAGGGCTGAGAGTCAGAAGGAAGCACTGTGCCGGCATGTCATCGCGGGGTTTCAGAATACTGGGCGATTTCTGGAGAGAATGAACAGTACACAGAACCAGTACCGGGATTCGGAATAGCCGAGGAGTTCCTGAATGCCACGCAGAGATAGAGAAATGTGGACCTTACCTCCAGATTTCTGAAGGGAGCTGGTTCCCAGGTAGATGAAGTCATGTTGAGAGACTTGTGGGGTCTTTGAAAGTTTACATTCCACACACCCTTTCCTAGGAGATTACTAGAGGATACGCTCCACCAAACCAAGAGAGTAAACCAAGGAAGGAGAAGTCGTGGCCCCGGGAGAGGCGAGGCCCGGGGTGGGGACAGCTGGTCCGTTAGACGTTAGCTCCAGAGAGGTGGTCTAGAGGACGCCTGCTGCCCCTGTGTGCACTGAGCAGAGATTTGGGCAGATTTGGGGTGGAAATGCTGACAGGATCTCGGGAATCCAAGGAACATCAGGAAAACAGTGGGGCAAGAAGGAGAGGAAAAGTGAACCGAAGGAAGCCAGGACCAGCCGTGACGAGTGTGGTCCTGACACTAGGGGGGGGACACGGGAACCCTGACCCGAGGGAACGGACAGGCAGGTGGGAGGAGGAGCCCGGAAGATGTCTGAGTGGAAGGAGGCAGCTGAGGGCCTGCCGGGCGGAAGGGGACAGCAGGCGGGAGTGGAGCCCCAGATGGACAGCAGAGGGCAGCCAGAAGCCCTGGAGCTGCTTCTTTCCAAGGGAAATGGACTTTGGAGAGACTCATCAGGCAAAAGACACAGGCATATACCGCTTGTGAGGGTGAATGCGGAAGTCCAGAAGGAGTGGGAGAATTCCTAGGAACATGCAACTTACCAGAACTAACAACGCGGTCTGTGACCATGGCAGGTGCTGCTCCGTAGGAGGTGCATTTAGTCCTCGCACAGGCAGCTTGGCGTGTCCCCTGGAAGAGGAGCTGAAGCCCTGGCCCCAGGCGGAGCAGTGTGCACTGTGATGCAGAAGGCCACGTGCCCCTGCCAGGAGAGGGCTGCTGGGGTTTGGAGGTGGCCTGTGGCCCCAAGGCCTGGTGAGAGGTGTCTGGGTTGGGGCTGGGCTCTGTCCTCTGTCTCTGGGAGTGAGCAAAAGCAGGCGTCACGAAGCCAGCCTGCCTGGGTTCCGCCTCTCCTGCAGGGCTCACTTGCCCTTCGCTTTCCACCATGAGTTGAGGCAGCATGTTGCCCCTCAGACGCAGCTGCCCAGCCTCGGGCTTCCCATCCTCCGGAACCACGAGCCACATTGACTTTAAACACCCGGGCTCAGGTGTACTGTTAGAGCCACAGAAAACAGTGACAGAGTTCGGCTGCTGTGTGCTGTGAGATGAGTGCACAGCAGTGCTCAGGACTTCCAGGCCTGGGTCCTCCACAGCCCCTCCCACTGTCCCAGCAGATTATCTACAGGTTTTTACAGCTTGCAGCCTGCTCCAGGGTGGGGACTGATGGGGTTCCTTTGGGGTCAGCGGTTCATATTGGGGGGCCAAAAATGGTGCCCAGGAAACTGATTGCTGGGGTGGGAGGGGGCAAGAAATTCCTTGGGATGCTGCCTGTAGGGGATGGTGGTGAACTTCCTGAGGGTGCCGGCTGCATCAGGCTGGCCTCCCCAGGAATGCTGTGCAGCTGCCTGTGGGGGGGCAGGTGGTGGGACGAGTGCTGCTGGGTGTCCCACATCCTGGCCAGGAGCCAAGGTGGTGGAGGAAGGAGGGCCCAGTGGGACCCAGAGGACAGACTCTTCCCAGGCCCTGTCCAGCGCCCTCTACTGTCAGCTCTTCAGCGGTGCCTGCTGGCCCGCTGTGTCCCAGCGGCAGGCCCAGCGGCAGGCCCAGCGGCCCTGGAGGTGGAGCTGGGGGCTGGAGAGGCTCCTGCCCCGGGCTCACTGGAGGCAGTGTGCAGGACTCTAGCTCAAGGGCACTCAGCCTCACTCTCAGTCACAGGGTCTCAGCCTGGGCATGGAGTTAGGCCCAGGGAATGGGGCAGAGGCTGTCACCACCCACATTGTGACTCTGCTCAGGTTTTTGGCTCCCAAACGTAGTCTTTTTTTTCCCTTTTCTCTTTGGTCAGTTAGTGATCTTGTTTCTAGGCATACTGCGTCCAATTAGCCATCGCCAAAGAACCCTGTGGACCAAGGTGTCTTGGTTTCCGGCGGCGTGAGTCTGCTGCTCTCCCTTGGCACGTGTCTCTCCCTGCCTTTGGTGGCCATCTGTCCACGGGCATCGGCTCCTCCAGAGTCCCCCTCACAGCAGCACCTCCATCACACGCCTGCGTGCCCGAGGGCAGCCCCACGTGCTTCATTCCTGCTGTTCCAGGGTTGGGGGTTGCTGCTGGCCCCTGCAGTGTGTTGGGGTGAGCGTGCATCACTTGTCACACACATGCACCCGGGCATTCCTTTCTCCCTGGGCCTGTGTGGTCTCTCTTCCATGCTGGGGAAACTGATCGAGTCATCTTTTAGTTCAACAGTCATTGAAGCAATCAAAGGAGCTGCCCCAGCTGCCCCCCCCCCCCCCCCCCCGAGCATTACACCTGGCTCTCCAGGCGTGGCCTGCTCTAGAGCCGGTCCAGCTGCCTTGTCTAACACCCTGGGAGTCTACTGCCAAGCGTTTCCCATGTGTTTACTGATACATGTTAGAAAGGCTCCTTCATTTTCTGGGTTTATAAGCTGTTATTGGGCATAGTGTCTCCTCATCCCTCTGGGCCCTGTTGTGATTTGGCCCTAATCACAGGTCTAGTGGCAACAAGGCTGGTTGTGGGTATGGAGAATGAGTGTCCCTTTCCAGGCCTCTACCCCTGATGAGGCCACCCCTGGGTTTTCAAAGGGATCGTAGTCTTCCGTGACAGGGTAACAGTGCAGGTCAGACTGGTTCTAGCAGTGGAGGCTCAGAGGGACGAGCGGGAATAAGACTGTCAGTTTCATCTGGGTCCAACCCAGTCTCCACTCAGCTTCCAGATCCCGTCCCCATCAGGGCCTTGGCTTTCCTGTGAGATGCTGGTGAGACCGTTGTGCAGCCAATGTGGTTAAATTGGTTTTCAGAGACACTGGCCCTGTGACAGGGACAGCTACTTTAGTGCTGTCGCTGCGTTTCTCGCCCCGGCCCTGACGTGTGCTGAGAGTTTGTTCACAGACCTGCAGCAAGGAGAGGTACTCAGAAGATGCCCTACACACCGAAGTCCCGGTGTCCTCATTCCAGCTGTCACAAGCCCTGTCCAGCACCTGATGCAGCCCCAAGGCACTTGCCCTGGTTGGCGCTGCACAGCCTGCTGAAGGAGATGGCTCCATTAATTCTGACGTTGCCCGAGTGCTTAGTTCTGAATAGCAGCATCCTCTTTCTCCTCACAGAAGAGAGCACAAGGGATTGGTTCCCAGTGTCTTCTCTGGCTGCTCCAAGTACCAGTTGTGTGCCAGTCAGGGCCAGTCCAGAGGGCAGCAGCCACACAATCACATGAGCAAGGCAGGTATGATGTGCAGTGTGTTAATTTTCCAGGGTTTATCTTATGTGTAGAGGGAGTTCTAAATACCCCGAAGGACAGTACCCAAGGACGGGGCACCAGAGGCGTCCCTGCTTGCTGGTCAGGACCAGTGGGCAAGGACTGGCAAGCTAGTGGAGGAGGCAGGCTCTTCCCCCAAACCTGCACACAGGTGCCACTGACTGTGCTGGGGAAGGTGAGCCCCGCTGGTGTGCAGCACTCCAGCCGAATTTGAAGGAAATGGGAATGAGGGGGTCACCGCAGGCCAGAGCCAGGAAGAGGAGCTGCCCTCCTCCAGCATCCCTCTGGCTCCCTCTGCTGGCTGAGTCTAATGTGCGGCTGGTGGGGAGGCAGTGCTCCGGACCACAGCCCAGCTACCAAGGTGGAATGAGCCTCAGAGGGCAGCGTACTGGCAGCTGGCGAAGCCCAAGAAGGACAAGAGGAGGAAAGGAACAGCACTGGCCAATAACATCTGCATAAACGCAAAATCCCAAAGAAGACGC